AAAAGAAAGAAACACATTTAATTCAAAAATAAATTCATAAGGGTCAGGGATATAGCTCAGTGGCACAGTGCCTGCCTGGCAAGCACAAGGTCCTGAGTTCAATTCCTGATATAAAAAAAGCCCCAAAGTAAATTCACAGACAAAGTCAAAGGATGGAAAACAGTACTCTATGTGACAGAAACCCAGAAAAAAGCAGGGGTAGCTATTCTATTTGCAAACAAAGTGAATTTGAAGCCAAGACTGATTTTTTAAAAAAATTTTTAATTTTTTTTTTTTTTTGTCTTTTTGAGACAGGTCTCGCTATGCAGTTCAGGCTGGCCTTGAGCTCACTTTGTAGCCCAGGCTGGTCTCGAACTTGCAACGATCCTCTTGCCTCAGCCTCCCAAGTGCTGGGATTACAGGCAGGAGCCGCCACGCCCGGCTCCAAGACTGATTAAGAGCAATAAAGAAGGTCACTACATCCTTGTAAAGGGAACAATCCAATGGAAGAGAAAACAATCATAAATACATATGCAACAAATACCAGTGCACGCAACTATATAAAACAAATATTAATAGGCATGAAAATATCAAATAAGCAGTAATACAATTGTATTGGGGGCTCTCAACACCCCACTGTCAAAAAAACCCAACTAGACAAAAAAAAAAAAAAATCAACAATGAAATATGAGAACTGGACTGAACTTTTGTTTTTTGGTTTTTCTCCGGTACCAGGAACTGAACTCACGACCTTGCGCTTGCCAGGCAGGCGCTTTTGCCGCTGAGCTAAATCCCCAGCCCCTGGACTGAACTTTTGTTTTTTTTTTTTTTGGTTTTTCTCCGGTACTGGGAACCGAACTCACGACCTTGCGCTTGCCAGGCAGGCGCTTTGCCGCTGAGCTAAATCCCCAGCCCCTGGACTGAACTTTTGAACACATGGACTTAGATGTCTACAGAGTGTTCCACCCTACTACAGCAGAATACATTCTTCTCAGCTGCACATGGGACATTCTCCAAGAGAGATGACATACTAGCTCATACAATATGCTTAAGTAAATTCAAAGGAATTTAAATTATCCCATGCATATTATAAGACCATAGGGCAGTGAAATTGGAAATCAATGACAAAAGAAAAACAAGAACTTCATAATCACATAGAAATTAAGTAACACCCTCCTGAACAACCAGTGGGTCACAGATGAAATTAAAGAAATTAGACAGTTTCTATAATTAAATGTTAACAGCAATACAACATACTGGAACTTATGGAACACAATGAAAGCAATCCTCAGACGGAAATATATAGCAGTGAATATCCATACCAGGAAAACAGAGCAAGCACAAATAAACCACTTAATGACAAGTTTCAAATTTCTAGAAAAAGAAGAGCAGAATAGGCCAAGAGCTCATACAGGGAGGAAATTATAAAGATCAGAGCAGAAGTCAACACATTGGAGACTACAAAAACAATGAATGACAAAGAATCAATGAATCAAAGAGTTGGTTCTTTGAAAGATTAAATAAAATTGACAAAACCTTAGCCAACCTTATCAAAAAAAGGAAAGAAAAGACTCAAATCATGCAATTAGGAATGAGAAGGGTCAAATCACTATGGACTGTACAGAAATCCAGAAGATCATCTATACCTACTTTGAAAACTTGTATACTAGTAAGACTGAAAATGCAGAAGAAATGGGCAGATTCCTAGACATGTGAATTACCAAAGCTGAATCAAGAAGATGTAAAAGTCCTAAATAAACCACTATCAATTAATGAGATCAAAGATGTAATTAAAAACATATCAACAAAGAAAAGCCCAGGCCCTGACACACTCACTGCTAAATTCTACAAGAAATTCAGGGAAGACCTAAAATTACTACTTCTCAAACTCTTTAATGAAACTAAAAGGGAAGCAATACTCTCAAATTCATTCCTGGAAGCAAGCATTACCAAAACTGGAGAAGGGCCCAACTAAGAAAGAGTATTATAGGCCAATCTCCCTAACGAACACACAGATGGAAAAATCCTCAATAAAATATTGGCAAACAAAATGCAGCAAATCATCAAGATTATACACCACGGCCAAGTTGGATTCATCCCAGGGATGCAGGGATGGTTGATCATACATAAATCAGTAAATGTAATACACCATATTAACAGAGCCAAGGGAAAAAATCATATGATCATCTCAATAGATGCACAAAGAGCTTTTGACAAAGTCCAGCACCCACTCATGATAAAAACCCTACAGAAAATTGGAATAGATGGTCTTTATCTCAATCTAATAAAAGCTGTCTATGACAAACCAACAGCCAACATCATACTAAATGGACAAAAATCAAAAGCTTTTTCTCTAAAATCAGGAACAAGACAAGGATGTCCACTGTCTCCATTTTTATTCAATATAGTCCTGGAAACTTTAGCCAGAGCAATTAGATAAGAGAAAGAAATAAAAGGAACAATGAAAAGAAAGAAGTGAAATTATCATTATTTGCAGATGACATGATACTCTATATAGAAGACCCTAAAAACAACACTAAATAAGTGCTAGATTTAATAAGCAAATTCAGTAGCACACCCGGATACAGAGTGAACACTCAAAAATCAATAGCCTTCCTTTACATAAATAATAAACTCACTGAGAGAGAAATTAGGGAAACAACATCTGTCACAATAGCATCCCCCAAAATGAAATATGTAGGAATCAATCTAATGAAGGATGTAAAAGACCTCTACATTGAAAACTACAGTATCTAAAAAAGGAGACTGAAGAGGATATCAGAAAATGAAAAGACATCCTCTGCTCATGGGTAGGAAGGACCAACATAGTGAAAATAATCATATTTCCAAAACTGTTATACAGATTTAATGCAATTCCAATAAAAATTCCAATATCATATCTCAGAGAATTAGAGAAAACCCTAAAATTCATTTGGAACCCGAAGAGACCTAGCATAGCAAAGGCAACTCCTGGCAACAAAGGCAAGGCAGGGGGCATCACAATCCCTGACTTAAAATTATTCTATAAAGCTATTGTCATAAAAACAGTGTGGTACTGGGAAAAAAAAACCCAAACAGACCTGAAGATCAGTGGAACAGATTAGAAGATTCAGAAACAACTCTAGACATACTCAGCCACCTCATCTTTGACAAAGGTGCCAAACACATTCACTGGAAGAAGGATAAACTCTTTAATAAATGGTGATGGAAAAATGCCCTGCACCTGCCGAAGATTAAAATTGGACCCATATCTTTCACCATGCACTGAACTAAATTCAAAATGGATCAAAGATCTAAATATTAAAACAGAAACATTAAACCTACTGGAAGACACTGGTGTAGGCAAAGACTTTATGAATAAAACCCTGATACACAAGAACTCTCACAAAGAATCACCAACTGGGATTTCATCTTATTAAAAAGCTTTTGTACAGCAAGAGAAACCACCAACAGAGTAAAGAAACAACCCACAATGTGGGAAAAAATGTTTGCCAGCTGTTTCTCAGACAAAGGATTACTATCAAGATCATATAAAGAACTAAAAACGGCTGGCAATGTAGCTCAGTGGTACAAGCACCTGCCTGGCAAGTGCAAGGTCCTGAGTTTGATTCCCGGTACCAACACTAAAAAAAAGAAAAAAAAGAAAGAAGGAACTAATAAATAAATAAATAAATAAAAATCAGACCTCCCAAATTTAAAGACCCAATCAAACAATGGGCATCTGAGATGAATACACACTTCTCAGATAAAGAAATACAAACAGCAAAGAGGCTGGGGATCCAGCTCAGCGGCATAAGCGCCTGCCTGGCAAGCACAAGGTCGAGAGTTCGATTCCCGGTACCGGAAAAAAAAAAAAAGAAATACAAACAGCAAATAAATATATGAAAAAATGTTCAACATCACTGGTCATTCAAAAGATACAAATTAAAACAACACTGAAATTCCATCTCAACCTGGAAAGAATGGCTACTATCAAGAAATCAACCAGTAACAAATGCTGGCAGAGCAGTGGGGAAAAAGAAACCCTTCTCCACTGTTGGGAGTTAGACTGGTGCAATCACTGCGGAAATCAGTGTGGAGATTTCCCAGAAAACTAGGGTTGGAGGTCCCATTTGACCCAGTTATTTCCCTTCAGGGTCTCTTCCCAGAAGAAGTAAAAATATCGTATCACAGTGATATATGTGCACCCATGTTCACAGCAGCACAATTTGTCATTGCTAGATCTTGGAAACAACCCAAATGCCCATCAACTGAGGAATGGATAAAAAAGATGTGGCCTTTTTATACAATAGAGTACTACTTGGCCATAAAGAAGGATAAACTTAAGACTTTTATAGATACATGGATGTAACTCAAGACCATATTCACAAGTGAACTAAACCAGAAGCACATGTGTAAACATTGTAATGTCTCCCTAGTGTGAGAAGCTGAAAGAGTAAATAAGATTCAAAATACACAGTAAGTATTTTAAAATGAGAACAAACTTTAAAAGGAAAGAGAAACTCGGGGGCGGGGGGAGAATGGAGAAAAGAAGGGAAAAGCAGAAAAAAAAGATATTTAGGATAGTTATACTACTAATTTCTCTTAGTTCATTGAAAAGAAAGGTTCGCACTAATATCGTTTGGACAACTAAATGCCGATATCTTGTACTCTGAATAACTAGTTTAAAGATAACAATAGGCAATGTAATAACCATTGTGGCCCTCTATTATCTTGTTTTGAAATTTTGTTTTTTTTTTCTTTAAAATAAAAGACTGTGATATAATAAATTTTAAAGTACAAATTATATCGTTGCAAACACCATAGGATCACTATATTTTCAAAAAGCTGAACATTTAAAAGAATATATTTGAAATAGGATTATACTATTTGTTAATGATAGCATTAAACAATGCAATTACTAAAAACATATTGAGAAAAGGAATGTAGCAAATTAGAAAATATAATAATGGTAACACAGGCAAGATATTAAAATAACTATATCTCTATTAAAGTACTGTCTTAATATGAATCAGTTTTACCTTTCTTTAATGAATATAATGCTGAGGTGAAGAAGGTCAAATAGCCAGGAGGCTGGGGTGAGCCACTGAACTCAAAGTACCCAAGTACTCCAGGCTGCAGGAGCAAGAACACAATTAGGTGACTGAGACACTATTGGCATGCAATAATTTTAAACACACAAGAGTGACATGATATCATAATTTGACAATTAGTGCATTTTGTTGCATTTCGGTTTTTAAAAAGCCTAACCACCTGAACAAAGGTGAGAGCCGGATGGGATTTCTCCATTCAGATAGCACCAGAGTAAGGGTGCCTTGTGAGGATGGCAGAGTGGTAATTCAGGGGTACCAAAGTTGAAACTTCCTTCTCCCTCCCTAAGTAAGTCTTTCCATCTCTGATACAGCTCACTTAGCCAAGCCAGACTCAAAACTTCACCAGAGAATTCAGGCATTCGCTCATTTTAACAACTTCACCCAAGGTGTGGCAGTAATACTTTGTAACCCCTCTGCAATTTCTTCAATTGCTTCATCTTAGTCATTCCAAATTTACCTTCCCACTTTGCTGGGAATCAGGTTATATGTGACTGCCCTCTTGCTTTTCCACTCTCACAAACTCATTTCTACATGCTCATTCACATCTCTAAGCTTATCATCGAATGGCCCTTCAAACTGACAAACCAATTAATTAATTGTCCCCTTCCAGACACATTCTATCTTCCTGCTCAAGGTATTTTCTTCCCTCTCTGGAGGTTCTACAGCACACTGTCCAGTTTTGTCCTGGAATAATCTTATCTGTCTTAAAAGAAATCCCTGAGGAAAGAAAAACTGCTGGAGTCTGAAGACCTAAGCTCAAGTCCAAGTTCTTGACGCTAATGCATAATGCTAGGTGAACCTTGACGTGAAGCACTGGTTTCCTGGCTGGCAAATGAGCCCAGTTCTTGATGGGGTTACTGTGAAGAGCAAGTCTGGTAAACTGTAAAGCAAGAGGCAAATGTGAAGATCTTTCTTTCCAGCACTAAAGCCACCCACAATGCTCTTAATAAGCAACTGTTGATGCTGATTTGATCACTGAACAAATCACATCCAAAAGTTAAGGTGGAAATTTAATTTGTTGGTAAAATTTTAAATCAGTACATTGCATAGAGAGAAAATTTCGGATCTATAGTGGAACATATATTATCTCTCGAATTTAAATCACTTGCTTAAAAGCTCATAAACTTCAACTTTCTATTTTTTGAGACACAGTCCTGTGTAGTCCAGGCTGGCCTCACAGCAATCCTCCTGTCTCAGCCTCTTGAGTGCTGGGATTACAGGCATGCACCACCACATCCAGCATAAACTTCAACTTTAATTCAACTGGTTTTCATTCTGAAAGACACTGAAACAGAATGTTTAATACTAACACTGAGAAAAATCTAACAAATAACCAATTTCTCAAACTAAGGAAATAAAAAAGCAAAGTTTTGTTAGTGTTTTGCAGTGCTGTGATTTGAACAGGGGGCCTTACATATGCTAAACATGCATGCACTCTACCATTGAGCTACACAACTCCAGCCTCAAAATAGTTACTGAAAACAAAATTTTTTTTGGACTACTCTTTCAAAACATTTTTAACAAGCCAATGTACAACTGAACTAAAGAAGACTTATAGTATTTGGTTTCTTAAGATTTTATACCATTCTATGCTGGTATTATAAACTTTCCTACCAAGTCTAAAGGAAAACAAAATATTCAGAAATTCTGGCTACTTAGTTAATACTGGACATAACAAAAATTGAAACTAATTCAAAGTAAACACTCGGGGCTGGGGATTTAGCTCAGCGGCAAAGCGCCGGCCTGGCAAGCGCAAGGTCTTGAGTTCGGTTCCCGGGACCGGAGAAAAACCAAAAAAAAAAAACAAAGTAAACACTCACTTAGCTTTCTTTAAATTCTGACCAATCTCTCAAACCAAAACAGAATTTATTCTAAGTATTAATAAATCTTCCCTAGCTAGAAATTTTTTTTCTTAAAATACACTGCATTATTTTAGGTAGCTTCATGGAAGTGGAAACACGGCCCATAAGCATATATGTAAGTGTGTGTGTACAATTATATACAAATATGTAATATAGGAAATCTGAGTCTCAAAAAAAAAAATCTAAGTTGAACCTTTAAAAGTGAATAAAGACTGGACCACTGGCAAGTATCCTTTGTGGACATTTCTACAGTACAGGTTTGTTTTCACTGATGGCATTTCTTTTGCAAGTTACATAGCTTGGATAAAGGCGCCTCCTTCTTTGGAGGAACTAAGTTTGACTAAAGAAATTCATCAAATAGTACTGTGTAAAACAGCACTATAAACAAAATTATTTTCACTTTCATTGCCAAAGAAATAAAGAACATACGCTTCAGAGGAGATGATTAAAGCTTTATAAATTGTAAAATACTACTTAAAAAACAAGCAGGCAAAGTATATTTTAAGTGATAGGTGACAGACATAATACTGTTAACAGTCTGTACTGAATTTCGAAAACTACCATGCCTGAGAAGATAAACTAAAACTAATACTTCAATAGTACAACAACTATTGATAATCTCCTACCTCTTTTGTCTGTAACTCACTATTATTTGTCTATTTGTTTTCCTGAGAAACTATCTTGTAGATAACAATATGTAAAACATTTACCACTGATAATTTCCTACCACTTTGTCTGTAATTTGGTAAGCCCCCCCATTATTGCTATCCTTCTTTTACTCTTTAAAATAAAAAAAATACTTCAAAACAATAAGAAAAGGAAATAAAATAAAACAACAGTTATGTGATTTCTATTACAAATTATTTAAAAGTTGCCAAATCAGCTCAGTCATGTTGTAGGTAGAACATTTTGCAGCTTTTCCCCCAAGGTTTCAATGTCTCTCCAACAGAAGCTATATCTTTATTTAAGAAATCATCACACATTAGCTATACATATTTTGATTCTTCCACATTTACTGTTGAAATCTAAAAAATGTCAAGTTTGAGCAACACACATATCTGCACATAGAAAACTTCCTTCTTCTAGGTCTGTGTTTGTTCAGCTGCAAATAAACCCGTGAGTTGACCCAACCCAGAGAGCTTTAACCCTGTACTCAGCGTCTCTGGAGGTCATTTCCAGATGAACTGGCTGCACACATGTGCCAGCCTGACCCTATGTACCTGGGGTCCAATCGCAAACCTTGTGGTATACAGCCTGTCACTGTGGTATCTCTAGCAGTCTACTCCCAGATGTTTAACAGCTTCGGGTGAACACTCACATGTGCTCAGCTGTCAAATTTCTTCTCGTCTTTGCTTGTCCAACCAACGAAGGGGGTCACCAGCCAACATGCTGGTGAAAAGACATCTCTGTGACCTCATCTCCTTAATTACATCTGCAAAGATCTATTTCTGAATTCTGAAATAAGGTCACATTTTGAATTTTAATGCAGACATAAATATTGAAAGGACACTATTCAGCCTAGCACCCTTGTTTACTTGTTTACCTATTTGCAGGTCTGGGGATACAGCTCAGGAGTAGAGTGTGCTTAGTATGTGCAAGATCCTGAGTTCTACCCTCAGCCTGCTAAAAAACTGTATTTTCCTGTTTGTTATCTATCTCCACACGTAATTCCACAAAACAAAGAATCTTTCTTGTTTATAACTAGACTTCTAGCTTAGAGAGTGCCTAGCATAGAGTAAGCAAGCAATAAATATTTGTTAATGATTGCATGGAGCTGGGCATGGTGGTGCATACCTGTAACCCCCATTACTCAGGGGGCTGAGGCAGGAGGATCACCATAAATTCAAGGCCAGCCTGGACTACACAGTGAGTTCAAGGGCAGCCTGAACTACAAAGCAAGACCCTGTGTCGAAACACTTAAAAAAATCTGCATGGGCATTAGAAGATAAATACGTAGGGCAAAGCCCTTCCACCAAATTCACAATTTAGTAAAAAACAAGGCACAATGATGGCCAGATAGTAACTTCACCAGTCTGCTTTAAATTACATTCCTTTATGTATAGTAATATTTAGTACCTGTTAAGGAGGTTGAAAATTAGCTATGTTTTTTTTCCCCCCCTCCGGTACCGGGAATCGAATTCACGACCTTGCGCTTGCCAGGCAGGAGCTGTGCCACTGAGCTAAACCCCCAGCCCCTGAAAATTAGCTATGTATTGGTGACAGGCAAAACCTCTTCAACAAGTATTTTTTGTGGAAGTGGGCACCATTTGTAGCATAAATTTCAGCAGATGGTGCATACACCCTCTAGTGGCCAATGAGAATAGCTACTGTGGTACGTTTTTACTTAATGGCACTTGAAATATTTGTACATTAATGCTATATTACACCTAAGAAGTGTAAAACTGTTTTCTTCACAGTGCTACAAAGCTATAAACTGACAGTAATGGCATCTACCTGCTTAATACTCAGATAAGATTTTATTTACAAGTAATATAATACTAGAAGCCAGGCATTCTACGTTTTCTCCTAAATACTCAGGTTTTTCTTTCACCTGTCAATTTACCTAACACTTTCATCTCCCCCACAAAAAGATTCCCAAGTGTTTTTCCATCCCACGTGTGTTTAAAGGACTGGTTTACTACACAGCTAAGATTAAATGAATGGGCGTATGTTACACGTTGTTCTTAAACATAAAATACAAAAATTCACAAAAAGACAGCATTCACCTACAGGCCCTGGATCCAAACCCCAGCACTAGAAAAATGAGTAAATAGAAGCCAGGCGTGGTGGCGCATGCCTGTAATCCCAGCACTCGGGAGGCTGAGGCAGGAGGATCTTTGTGAGTTCGAGACCAGCCTGGGCTACAAAGTGAGCTCAAGGCCATCCTGAACTGCACAGCAAGACCCTGTCTCAAAAAGAAAAAAAAAAAAAAAATGTTGCAGGAAGATTTATATTTTTTCTGTTTATTGCTGTCATATAGAGGACCCATCTTCCCATTTTTTTGTTTCATTTATTCCTTTACCATTTATTCAAGTTACCAAACGCAGTATTTACTGAATTTATTAAATGTCTACTTTATGTTAGGAGCCAGAAATACAAAGATGAGTAAGACAAAAAACCCTGCCTTCTATTTGTTTATGATCTCGCTCAGACTAGCTTG